CTCAAGCTAAATGTTGGCTGTTCTGGAGGCCCTCCCTCAGGTCCTCTCCTTGATCAACCTCGGCTCTTCCTCCTTCTGGTTCGGTCTGTCCTGTCCTGCTCATTGTCAGGCCTCCTTCACTTTCAACCTCGCTCTCTTCACCTCTGGTTTCAGGTTTGGTTGCCTTTGTGCGCTGGCTCTCGTCTCAGGACCGCCTCGCCTGAGGCTGCAACCCCGCCGGCACAGGTCTTGAGGCCAGGTGCATTGCGTCTCCGCGGGTACCTGCGTGGGCCAGGAGACTGATCTCGACCAGGCCATTGTCGAGGTTCAAGAGGCCTTGGAGCGCCTCCGCATTGCCACTTCTAGGGTTGGAACTTGGGTTGTGGTAGACTCCCCTTCCTCCTCGGGGTTACCCTATAGGGCATCTCCCGGTTCCCCTGTGCAAACCAACCACGCCGAGTCTGTTGCTTGCGCCTCGGAGCCTCCGGCGGACTTCTCGTGCGGCAACCCTGGCCAGCTTTCCTGCCTGCCCTCGCTACTGTTTTGACCTTTGCCGTGGCCTGTCGACCGCAGGTGGTGGCCCCGACCTGGCTTGCAGGCCTTTGGACGCAAACTGCCAGGTCTTCTGCCTTCCCGTGCTGCTGAGGCCTGGAGGGTTCCTCGCAGCTGTGCCAGCTTCTTCACTTCATGCCTCGGCCCTCGAAGCGGCTGCTTCCGACAGCCCGCCTGCTCTGCTGGGGCCTTTTTCACTAGTCTCTGTTCCGGGAGAGGAGGAGGACCAAGGGAAGTGCTACTGGGCACAGACGTGGAGGTCCTCCTGGTCGATCTGGAGGAACAGGTCATGGCGCGGCCTTTTAATTGGCGCAGGAAGAGGAAATCACTTTGATGACCGCGAACCCCAAGAAGCCTCCCTTGAAGAAGCGCGTCACCATGGGCCAGCTATCGGATCAAGTGGCAGCCATTGCGGCGGTTATCCCAGGCGGACCAGATAAAGGCGGTGGCCGACCAACAGGCGGCGTCAGCCTCTTCTGCCATCGCTGCGGCACCAGCCCTCCTGTGAATCAGCCGCCGGCCCGGCGCTAGGGATCAAGCAGCCCTTCCCGGCCATTCCGGGTGCCACGGCCGCGCCGCCTTTGCAAAGCCTTGTGAAGCAGCTTCCTCCGCCAGCCCAGGTTCAGGCACAGGCGCAGGCTCAGGTTCCTCAGGTGTCAGGTGCCGCCGGCTCTTCCTCCGAAAGCTCCTGCCTCGCAAAGGCCGTGACTCAGCAAGGCGAGGCCTTGAGTATGCTTGTGTCGCACCTGATCGCCCAGAGCGAGACCTTGGACTTAACTGGCAACGAGCCTCTCTGCAAAGGGCTCTGCTCGGAGGGAGAAGCTGCAGCAGGACTTGGAGAGCGGGAGCTCCTCCTTCTTCCTCCAGGTCTGTCAGGCGGCACACAGGAGATTGCACCCCGCGCTGCCGGTACCGAGCACACTGGAGGACCTGCAGTCCCAGGGCCGGGCGTCTTTTGCCAGCTACCTGGAGCGCAGTGCGGGCTACGATCGGTCGCGAGACTTGGGCTTGATGATGCTTCTTTTGTCGAGCATAGGAGATGCCTTCTTGAGGGGCGACACCAACGCGGCCCGGGAACACACAGCCTTGGCCCTCGCGGCGACCGAGCCGCAGCGATTCAGGCCGGTGGGACCTAGCATTCCTTCTCTCTTTGGGCGAGGAGCCTCCTCCCACGGTGTTTGCTCCGAGGCCCCAGAGCGCAGCCAATCGCATGAGAGCGTTCAGCCCCCTTGTGCCGGCCGGATTGGGTGCTGCGGCGGAGGGATGCGGTGACACCAGCCAGCCTACCCAAAGTAGGGGGAGAACGACCAGCAACCGGCCCCGAAACGAAGGCCACGATTCCCTCGAAAGCCGAAGGATCCGCCAGCCACCTAGGCCTGGACACTTCTCTTTCTGTTCGGTCTCCCGAGGCCCTTCAGCCTGACGCTTGTATTACCTCCTGGCTTTCCCGCCTGCAACATGGGAGGAGGAGAAGACATCATCGTGATGTGCAGCCACCGCCGCCTGGCCGAGGGGGGCACTTCGGAAAAGCGCGGGCACCCGGCCATGGCAGCCAATGAAAATAATTCATGCAAACCTGCGGGCTCGCCCCCTCGTTGGCGGCCACCTGCTCAATCCCTCTCTTCGCCCGAGCCTTTGTCTTTTCGGGCCTGGTCGCTTCGCGCACGTTTGAAATTTATTAACCTGCGCACGGCCTTCAGCAGTTTTCTGAAGTTGACTTTGCATCTTGGCCGGTGCGGGCCTGAGCCCCCGGCCTCGGTCCTCTTCCCTCTGCCTCTTCCCTACCCGGCCATCTTCCAATCCCGCCCTGGATTGTCTTGTCTTCAAGGCGGAGGGCCACCATAGGGTTTAGGAGGGTTTTGCACATCTTGGTCATGGCGTTGAATTTCGTTTACCAAGACTGCTCCTTCGTGCCTCTCAGGCTTTTGCAGCGTGAGCCCAACACCTCCCAGAGGCGATGCTTGCGCTACCTCGAAGCACTTGTGAGGACCTACGGTAGTGGCCAGGAGGACATAGTGTCCCCCTCCACCGGCCGTCCAATGAACGTTTTGCATGCTCGACTCCGGGAGCTTTCTGTGATGTTGTCGGCGCTGGGTGCGACGGCCGATCCTTACCACGGCCCGCCGTCAGGCCTTCCGGTTGCCCCTGACACTGCAGATGAGACTCTTGAGCCTTACCGGTCTCGCAAGTCGCCTCAAGCTTGTTGGGACGGGTGATTGGGACCCGAGCGATTGGCTTTCTGAGGACTACCCGGACTGCTCCCGCGAGGATGCCGATCAAACCTGCCAGCTTGCCCGCGTGTGGGACCGCCTCGGCCTCCTTACCCTGGTTCCGGCTGATATGGGCCTGGAGCCCCAGCAGTATACCAGGATTTTCAATGCTCGGAAATCCGAGAGCCAAGACAGACAAATAGGTGACAGACGTGGGATGAACTCACTGGAAGGACGGCTGTGTGGGCCATCGGCCGCGTTGCCTCTATCGACCCCGCTCCTTCACCTTTGCCCTGGGGGTAACTGATCGCCGCGACTTTTACCACCAGCTTAGCTTGCAGCTGGCCGGCCCAGAGCACTTAGCAACCGGCTCTATCCGCCGGAGGACCTCCGAGGCACCCGTGCGCTCAAAAATTTCCAAGAAAAGCTTCGTCCGTCTGACCTGCGCCCTAGCGAGTTTCAGGCTTGCTTTGCTAGCGTGCTGCAAGGCGACCACTTGGGCGTCGAATTCGCAACCTGCGCTCATGTCTCCTTGCTTCAGGGTTTCAACCTTTTGGCCGAGGGATCAAGGATTCAACGGGGGGTTCCGCTTAGGGAGCGTTCCTTCCATGACGGCCTCATCATAGACGACTACTTCTGCCTGGCCAAGTCCCTCGCGGCTCTTCTCTCAGTGCAGCCTGGCGCTTGATAGGGCACGCTCGGCCTACAGCAAGTATGGCATCCTTGGTTCTCCCGAGAAGGACATAGCCGACCTCACGCTGAGTGCGGCCTCCCTGCCGCCGCTTCTTGCGAACCGAAGTCTCCTAAAACGGTGCACCTCCCGCGCGGCGTCGCACAAGAGCTGGGCCTTGCGGCTGCGTTGGCCCCGGTTATAGCTGCTGATGTTGCTGTGCCCCAGCTCCCCCAGCTCTTTGCAACTGATGCCTCCGAGGGAAAAGGAGCTTTCTGTGGTTCTCCCGTGCCCCCGCGCTTTTCAGCGTGCCTCTGGCAAGCCTCCGACAGGAAAGGTGCTTTTTCAAGGCTCGCCCGACCCATCTTGGGAGGAGAGCACCTTGCAGGCCTCACAACCTGGGCCTCGCAAGCAGCTTGCCTATGTGTTTGACTTCATTGAGCTTTGCTCCCTTCGCGCTGAGGTGTCTCGGGAGATGTGCATAGGGGCTGGTCGGTCGGGCCTCCCATCCATCCCGACCTTTCCCCTGCCTATGATGTCACAAACCTTCGGCTTGTTGAGTGGATTTTCTTTCTTCAGAAGAACAGGGTCCGGCCGTTGTTTCTGTACCTTCTTCAGCAGGGGAACATCGTGCAGGACAGGCGGCCTGCCAAGGTGGGACAGAGAACAGCCAATCGTGGGCTATGCTCTGTCAGGGCCTGGCGGTACTTTTGAAAGCTCTCCGCACCCGAGCTTCTGTCCTCCTTTTGCTGCCCGAAATTGCTGCGAGGAGAGTCGAAGTCCGAGCCCTTCTTGATCCCCTCCTTGCTCTTGGTGCCGAAGAGGGGTCCCTCTCACAGTGCAGCTTTGGATCCCCTTTTAGAAGGGACACCATCGCCATGGGGTCGTGGTTTCCCGTCTGTGAGATTGCCAGGCCCTGCAGCTGCTGCAAAAAGCACACCCCTCTTCGAGGGGATAGGTTTCGCAATGGCCTCAGGTACCCCGCTCTCCTTGTCCAGGAGATTGGGAGGGTCTTCTCGGAAGGCCTCAGGGCTCTCAGTGCGGCAAGGACCTCTGAGTTTATCGCCGCCGAAGGCCTCGAAAGGCTAGTTGAGTGGCAATGCATGCTTGGACGCGTGGAGCTGGAAAGGCAAGCCTCACATTAACATTCTCGAGTCCGCCACGCTCGTGAGATTGTACCTGCATGTTGCCATCCACCACGGGCCCTCCAGGTTCGTGAACCTATGTGACTCTTTTGTCGCACAGGCTGCGCTTGACAAGGGCCGATCTTCCGCGCCCGCTCTCAGACATGTGACCAGGCGGTCGGCTTTTCAGGCCTTCTCACCTCACGCCCGCTTTGACTCCACGTTGGGCTATCCAGGTGAAGGGCCGGCTGAGTTACGCCAGGGATGGGCTTTTTTGGCTTCTCCTCGCCATTCCTCCGAATACTTCTTTTGTGCTCTCGGGCTCAGCGGGCGGGGCTGCAACTCCCTGGTTCAGGGCCCCCGCCCTCCGCTCTGTCGCCTCATGCGGTTCCGATGCTCTCTCCGTGCCTTCCTGCACCTGTGAAGCAGCAACCACTTGGCCTTCCGCCGTCGCTCCCCAGAACCATGCCGAGGCTATGCTTCATGCTAGGCCTGTCGCCACATGGCACCGTGGAAGTGCGCCCGCTTGCGCTCACGACCGAGCTCCCGCCGCCACCGGCCGCGACTGCACCAGCTTCCTTTTCTGTTCAGGGATTTTCGGGGGATTTCGGTCTGCTCTCCCTCCCTCTTCTCTCTCTGTCTGTCTTCTCCTGTCCCTCGCTTCTCCTGCTGCCGCCATGGAGGGAAGGCCACGTGCCGATCAGCGCAGGATGACGCGAGCTTCTGTGCCACTGCCTAGGGGACGGGCCGTGCAGCCAGTCACCAGGGACCGCAGAGAGAAGCTGAGACTGGCCTGATCGACTGGCTTGCGGAAGAAGGGCTGTGCTGGAGAGATATTGAGGGATGGGCTGACACCAGCCCCAGCAAGCTGAACGAGGTGCTGTCACGATATGGTCGCTGGCTGTATGAAGATGGCTGGCCGTATTATTGGTTTTCGGAGACATAAATATGGTCACTTCGGGGAGTTCCCTGTCGTGAGGAGGTCGCTTCCTTTGCCTGGCAGAGGGAGGAGCCACCTACGCACCACTCAGCCATGCCTTGGCAGGTCTTAGCCGCGATGCTTTCGATTGCTTTGGCGTGGGGCTGGGTGACAGTAGCAGGCGCCATCGCCATTGGATGGGGAGGCCTGGCGCGCATTGGCAAGGTTCTGGCAGCAAAGAGAAGTCACTTGGTGCTTCCAGCTGATGTCGGTTTCACCTCGGCGGCCGTCCACCTGTCGGTCATGGAACCCAAGACCAGGTACCGCGCGGCCAGACACCAGTGTATCAAGATTGACTAGCCCCAGCTCGTGACAATTGTCAACCTTGCGTTTCAGAAGCTAAACCCTCAGGACAAGCTGTGGCCCATGTCGGGCCCGACGCTGCGCGCTCGCTGCGACAAGCTCCTGAGCGCCTTGTGGTTGACAAAGGGCCTGGTGCCGGGGGTCAAAGACTTCGACCTGGGATCTCTCCGCGCAGGAGGAGCTACCTGGATGATGCAGGAAACCGAGTCCCCCGACCTCGTCCGGCGACGGGGTCGGTGGGTCTCGATTCGTGTCATGGAGATCTATGTGCAGGAGGTTGGGGCCCTCCTCTACCTTCCACGACTTTCTGCTGAACATAAGCAACACATTTTTGTGTGGGCAAATAGCTTGAGCAGCGTCCTTGATGTGGCGAACAAGTTCGTTGCTGCGGCTGTGCCCTGGTGCCACTGGCACCTTCTACTTCGTCAAGGCCTGGGAATGCTGTGATATGACGGGTGATATTTTAGCTACGTGAAGACCATGCATGAATGTGAACGGGTGTGGCGCAGTTCTTTCTTCGCAGCTCCGCAAAATGCTGTGCAGCTCACCTGTATCCGTTCGAGAAGATGCAAAAGTGCAGTTGAGTCACTGAAGGATAGTGACGATATCAAACGCTGCATTCCGCTCAAGCTAACCCGCCCTCCTCTCCCTCGCCCTTCGGCGCAGTTCTTTCTTCGCAGCTCCGCAAAATGCGGTGCAGCTCACCTGTATCCGTTCGAGAAGATGCAAAAGTGCAGTTGAGTCACTATTAAGGGTGTTCCGTCCAACGTCGTGGCGCTGCTGCAATGCCTATACGAGGAATAAACGGTCCGTGTTTCTTCTGGAGGTGAATTTAACTGAAGAGTTCCATCTGCAAATAGGGTTGAGTCAAAGATGCTGTTTTGCACCGCTCCTCTTCAATATGCTATTTGCCGCGGTGTTGGAGCAGTGGCGGGTTGTGGAAGGCAGGCGGTTAACATCAGAAACGAGGGTTGATGGCCTTCTTCGTCGGCTCCATAAGTGTGGTTCCGTTGAATCGTGTGATCTAGCAGAACTTGGTTACGCAGACGATGCTCTTTAGCAGACTGCTACGACATGTTGCGTCGTCTGACGCATGAATTTCAGTCGCATGTGTTTTCTTGGGGGTTGATTTTGTCGGTGGAAAAACGAAAGCGCTGTGCACGACACATCCACGACAGCCTGCCCACCCGGTAGTTGAGCATGATGGTTTTGATAGTGTACAGTTTGAGCCGACTTTCGAGTACCTGGGTTGCGACATAAATTTTGACGGTGACTGCACGTGGACTTCTATCAGCAACGTTTATAGCGCACGAAAGGCGTTTGTTTGGGGGCTCGCACAGACAATCTGGTACGTCAAGGAGTTGTCGTTGTATACGAACATGTGTTTCGAGCCAATGCGATGAGCACACTGTTGTAACCTGGACTACCATGTTACATCCCGGGCAACACGCTGGCAACAGCAATTGTGGCACTTGAGTAATGATACATTGCGGGCGTGGCTGGGCGGTCCTGATGTTGTTGATCTTATCACTCACTCGCAGCTTCGGTGGATGGGACACGTTGCGCGGATGCCGGTGCATAGGTTCCCGAAACGCATATTAGTGCTTTCCTTCCAGAAAGCATTGGCACGCAGCGGCCTCCGGGCCGGCTAAAGGGTAAGTGGTATCGTTGCAACAGGTTTCTTTAAGCTTGAGGCATTGGGTGTGGGAGGGGTGCCATTAGTGGAGGCTTTTGTGCAACAAGCTGCGTCTTTGTGTAGCGACAACTGGGCGTCCACGGACTTTGATGATGTTTTCGCTGGCTTGAGCGCGCAGTCTTTGGCTGCAGGGTATAATCATTTAGCTATGCGACTAGAACAGCAATCACGAATGCTCACCGGCACTTGTGGCTCCTCGCGTAAGTGGTCGGTACTGGATGAGGAGGCAATACAGCAACCGGGAGGACGCGAAGTTCGCTTGTCCCATAGCTGGGTGGTCACGCCAATACACCACATAAAGCGGCCTTGGACACCACTTCATCTTGTCGCACCGGGGTGGTACGTTTAGGGAGGCCGGGTGGGATTGTCCGCGTTCTTTTGAGAGAAAGTGCAATGACAAGTCACCTTAAACTTCATGATGCTGGTGCCTCGCCGTACGTCTGTCCAGAGTGTGGCGGTTGTTTTCCTGGCCGAGATTGTGTACGTATGCATAGGAGCAGTGCGCACCCTCTGAATCATGATATGCTACCCATCACATGTGCTTATTGCCTTCGAGACCCTGGCATCGAACAAGTTTATACACACTTGCACAGTTTTCGCATGCATATCTTAAGTGCACATATTCAGTAATTTGCCCTCTATATGCCGTCGAGTCTTGGTTCGAGCGTCTGCTAGTGTGACCTGTCCATGACCACTTTGTAATCGTATGGCATGGTCGGCGACTCTACTCGTGAGCGTGTGGCGGTGGTCGTGAACGTCGAGGTGGGTAGCGTCGTGCGGTAAGCGAGCGTTGGGACGGTCGAAGTGACCGCCGGGAAGACGACGAAACAACACGACGTACTGGAGTCCAGACTCGAGTCCACTGCCACCGTTGCCTCTGCCACTGCCTACCGTGTCGGTACCGAGAGCTCGCGACGTTCGTCGTGCAAGGGGACCTCAAAGCTCGCTTGGAACGGAGGTGGGCCACCTGGCCAAAAAACTCAGCGGTTATTCATGATCATAATGTTCTTTTCTGCGCTTTTAACCCCCCTGAAACGTTTTCGTGTGGCTTTTTCCCTGGTGTGTGCTGGAGAAAACGCGGCTTAAGAGAGTGGGGAGGTTGCAGTCTAGAAAATGCAGAGCTTCCAAATCTCTCATGATTCGTTTCATTTTCTTCGCTTTAAACCCTCCTTCGCGGCTTAAGAGAGCAGGGAGTTTGCAGTCTAAAACCCGCGAGGGGGTTGGGGGCGGTGCAGCCCCCCCCCCCCCCCCCATTTGCAGATCTTCCAGATCACTCATGCTTAATTCTATTTTCTTCGCCTTTAACCCCCTTGAAGCGTTTTCTTGTGGCTTTCTCCTTTGTGTGTTGGAGGAAAGGGGGCTTAAAGTCATGGACTGAGGGAGACTATAAGGGGGGGAGGGACTCGAAGTTTTGGGCTTCCAAATCACTCATGCTTAATGTTATTGTTCTTCGCTTTTAGCCCCTGAAGCGTTTTCGTGTGGCTTTCTCGTCTGTGTGTGTTGGAGAAAGGAGGGAAAGGCAGCGCGGTTTTCCCCCAAGACCACAAGGCCCCCACCCTCATAGTTTTTCCTAAATCCAGGACGACAAACCACCCCTCTCATAGTCTCCCAAAATCCAGAATTACAACACCCCCCCTCATACTGTTCCCCTCCAGGACTAGAAGACCCCCCCTCCCCCCTTGTAGTCTTCCTAAATCCACCCCTCCCCCCCGCACATTGTCTTCCGAAATCCAGGACTACAAGCCCCCCCCACCGCCTAACATAAATCGCATTTCTAGGATTACAAGGGGGGGCACCTGATGAGTGAAGCAAACTCTTTGGGAGCAGAATAGCTCTCAGAAGCATGGTTGCCTCTCGCACAAGGGCCGTAGGCAGCTTTCGGGAGATCTCCAAACGCTTCAGTCTTTCGCTTCCTCTCCGGTGGATGCAGGTCGGTGAGGAGCATCGCAGGGAAGGTCGGAGACACATCGTGCGGGCCCGAGAGTGCCACGTGGCCAGAGTTTGGTGCCGCAGATGCCTTTGAGGATGGGGGAGCGTCGCGGGTGGACGACGTGGTCCTGGGCAAAGATATCGACGGCGCTTCTCGGATGTCAGAGCACTCGGTCTATGTTAGGTTTTCCTGGGCAGGCTCAGCGCAGCAATTCGCGAGGCTTGCGGAGGGAGCGGCAGGCACAGGGTGGCATGAAGCACGGACGTCTTCGCCTGCTCACTCCCGGATCGTCTGTGTAACAATCACAAGATGCAGTGCAGGCGCCGCAGGGCGCCGTTGCGTCGGGGCCCTGACACATGGATGTTGCAGCCATGCCATTTTTTTACCTGGTTCATAGCAAAAATGGAGCTCGGACAGTTGCATCTGCGCGCTGTTCTCTCCTGGAAGCAAACCAATGTCAAGCAAACCTAGCGGAAGTTGATTTGGGCACCAGTTCGGGAACAGGGACGACCGTGGTTGGGATGTGACAGGATGAGAGGAAGACGCGCGAAGCACAGGGTCTTCTTTAGTCACGACATGTTCGTTAGCAGGCCACCGTGTCAGTGCGAGACGCAGAGAGCAGCAGAGCAGCAGATCAAAATTCGGAGTCGTTTGTTATCTCTACCAGAGCTCAGCCAGTTCAAAGGCGATCTCACTCCTCATAGCAGGGCACCTAAAAATGGGAAAGGAAGAGTAAACACACCGAAGGATATGAACTCCGTCGCGAATGCCTCCGATTGAAGCAACGGTGACTTTTGCCCTTTGCAGAGCTTTTTGTGTTTCATTTGGCGAAGCACTTGCGTCGGGGTTTGCATTTTCCACCGAACACATTGAGATCGTGTCTGCGCACCCTAAAAAGAGATGGGTCTATATCAATGAGGACGTTCTCGTTTGGTCGCAGACCCAGAGATTCAGGCCAGCCACAAGGGTTTATACCCGGCGGATTGACTGCAGAAGAAAGTAGAACTGCTTCTTTCAGTTTCTTTCAGTATGTTTCAGTGGTTTGGTTGCGTCTCTGAGGTTGGGGCAGATCCGCCTCTCCAGGGCAGACGCCACATCGACGGGAGCCCAGAAAGTTGAAGCGCCGCAAGTCAGCGGCCCCCGCGGGTTGCCGCCATAGGCCTCGCGGGAATGGCAGCGTCCAGGCGCGGAACCTTCGCCCGTCCGGTTTGGGTGGCCTCATGTGGCCTCTCTGGCCTGCGGAAGTCTGCGGAAGTCTGCAGAAGTCTGCGGAGGCGCCACGGCGCAGTCGGCGGGCGTCTTGGACGCTGCCGGGCAGCGGGCGCAGGCGCGGCATGCGCGGCATGCGCGGCATGCGCGGCATGGCATCTTCCTGAGACTGAGACTTCCGTGGAGGCATCGCTGGGCCTTGATCGGCGCCTGCACGGCAGCCTGAGTTGAGAGGAACGTTTGCTTTTCAAGTTGTACAAAGACTCATCCCACCCGTGTCATGTGCAAAATGCACTCCGGGCCGGGACCGAGATGGTACACTGGGCAAGCTGAAACCCAAGCATGCCCAGTCAGTCTTTTTGCGATGCCTTGAGGCGGCACAAAAGGCCGTTTGTTTCGACAGGCCCAAGAAGCTTTGAGTTCTGAGCATCTGCCGCTACTCCACGCCCTGGGCATCCCTGGGCCCTGTCCGCGTCCGCAGCATCGCCGCAGCACGAGAGCATGGAGGGAAAGGGTAGTTGCCAAGCGTGCGATTACCCTTCGACCAAATTTGGGGCATCCAGGATCGAGAGGATGCTTTGTGGCTTTGTGGCTCTCTCTCTCTCTCTCTGTCTCTCTCTCTCTCTCTCCCCTCTCTCTCTCTCTCTGTCTCTCTCTCTGTATCAGGACCTGCGGCTGGGACGGGCTATGTTCAGTTTCCTGGCTTTGATTGCAGCCTTCAAAGTAGGCGCACAGAGATTGTCTTTCCGTGTTCTGCGACTTCAAAGGTGGATGCTGCTGCACCGACTCTCAGGATGCACGGTGCACACGGTTTGCGGGACGAAGGGAAGAAACTTTCCGCGTTGCCAGCGTTTGTGCGAGGATTCTCAGGAAGCGCAGTTCAACTTGCCGATCGCGTCTGATGAGAAGACTATCCCTTATCTGGCTACTGACAGAAGGCGAAAGCGAAAGCTAAACCAGTGCTAAACCGTGGCTTCTCGAAATCTGGTGAAGTCCTCGCAGGATAACCACTTCGAAGGACCCATGCGACAGCTAAACGGAGAGGGAGAGTTGTGAGAGGTTTCTGTGCCAGGATGTGCCATCTGCTCGGTGCGGCCCCGGGTCCATCGGGGAGTGGTGACGCAGGGATGCCCAGCACAGCTTCCGAGGTCCACGCGTTCTCTGACGCCCGAAGAGAAGGAGGCGGAAAAGGCTCGGGCTCGGCCAAGCAATGGGGGCAGCTTTCCAGAGCCTTTTCGAACGGCATCAGGTCCGCTTGCAGGGCTTGGTGAACAACTTTGCAAAGAAAGCTGGGGCCATATGGCACCATATGGCACCAGGATAGAGCCGCTCATCGCTAGTATTCGCTAGATGTCTATGTCCGAGGCAGTGCGAGGTTGTCCCTGTGTGTGCTCCAGAGAGTTGCCGAGTGATGGTAGACGGAAGGGATTGAACCTGACAGGTACTTCAAAGAAGGCACAGCGACGCGATTCGAGACGCAGTATCGGATAGATGGAGACCCAGCAGGTTCTTGCAACACCTGCATTCCACGATTCACGGAGTGACCAAGGACAAGAGCCTGGAGTATTTGATCTTGGTCAACCCTCAGGTCAGGTCTTGAAAAGTCCTCCCCCCATAGCCATACACCATGAGCTGCTCCTGACATGTCAGAGGAGCCAGGAGTTACAGAAGTCACCTGCCCGATTGCGGCCATTCAGGAGGGCCTAAGGTTGCAGAGGCGCGCGCTCTCTGATGCAAGTTGCCTTGCGAGGACATCTACTCCATGGCCGAGGACGGCTCGCAGGGGCCTCGGAGAGACGCCGCGACGAATCGCACGCGTTGCCGCGTTGCCCTGCGCCCTTTTCTCTCTCTCTCTCTCTCTCTCAGGAGCTGCTTCCCGCCCGAAGTCCTGGCGGCCCTGGGAGCGGAGGACCGGACCCGCGGCCCGGGGTGGCGCTGCTCTCCGCTGTGAGCTCCGCTCTGCGTCTCTCTCGTCGAGGGAGCTCCGCTCTCCGCTCTGTGGAGAGAGGGAGAGAGGAACGAACCGACAGCAAGGAGAGACTTCAAAGCCCACGGCCTTTGCGAAAATGCTTTCATACGTGAGTCCATCGGACCTTCTGCAGTCATAAAACGACACTGCTATTTTCGGAGAAGCTTGGCTTGTGCCCATCCGCTTGCTTCTCGGCATGTGTCCTCGCGAAAGCATCAGTGCAGAGCGTCTGGAGCCGCGATTCGCAGTCTGGGACGTGTTCATGAGGGCCTAACTCGGAAGATGTTGTTTGTATCAGCTGAAGAACTTTCCGCCCGAGATCTGTGGTGTCGTGTTCACTGTCGCTTGCTCCCCTGAAGTATTCACTCAGCCTGACGTCCTTCGAACGACTTCTTCTCCCTCGAACGTCGAGCAGGGTTATCAATCACTACGTTCACTACATATCATGGTTTGAGAGGAGTCCGGATGTAGGTTTGAGCAAATGAATGGCAGCGGTTTCTATTGCTAGCTGGATCATCTTTTCCATTTGCAAGGATCGAGAACGGCTTCTGATGATTGCCTGAGCCTGGGCTTCGCGACTCCGAACTTCGCAGAATCAGAATTGGGGGGTGGGGCTTTCGTGCCGAGGTCTTCAGCGATACGGACGGCAAGCTGTTCAGGCGGATCCGTTCTCAGGGACCGCGGTTGCAGATGATGCCCTTTGGAAGGTTCTGCTTGGTGGAGGAATCAACCGAGAGCCGCGACACCTTCTTGGAGTGCATGAGGCCGATGTGCGCTAAGTTCCAGGGATCCAAAAGGCCAGAGGCCCATAGGCCATCATAGGCCTTTCGTGCCCTTCGTTCGGAGGATTCTTTGCATCTACGCACAGTCCAACCCTGGTGAGCGTTGAGTTCTCCGCATGTTTCACCTGTCAAAGCTCGTCACAACACGCCGACGAACTTGGCTCGCGCTAAACATGCCGAGTGAACATTGCAGTCTGGAGACTTGCCATCGTGGCCAGAGACTGTCCGTGGACCTTTCTCAGCTCGAGCACTGAACCTTCACTGGCTGGGGCGGCCCTTCTCACGCGGGTTTCCGGAAGCGTTTCAAAGCCAATGAGTTGAAAGGAGGCGGCGGCGTCTCCAGGTGCCGAAGCCGTTTCTTATCAGGGCAACCTTACTGGACGTGGCACCCTGCAGGCCAAGCTCAATGCTTCTGCTGCTGCTGCTTCAGGCAACGACGGCTACTATCGTGCCGGGACCTGATCTCGCTCACGCAAATAATTGTAAAGGGTCGCTCGCCTTGGCCCGGTTGTTGCTGGAGAGTGTAGGAACATGCTTGTTGTCTGTGCCAATCAGATTACCCACACGTGATCAGCTGCTTTGCAGTGACGTCGGTGGCTCAAGCCGCCCGAAGCCGACAAGGATGTAGCGTGCCGGAGAAAACAGTCGGTGTGCGTTGTGCAAGTGTTGCCTTAGCGTCGCTGCCCGCAGTTGGTAGCGTGAGCCCGTAACGTCATGGCCACGCTCGATGAGCTCACTCCGCAAACAGCGAACGCAGAAGGCGACAGTGTTCAGCAGACACCAGAGACTCTGACTACGGTTGCTTCCGAGCCGACAGACTGGTGGCGCGAAGGTGGAAAAGCTGGTGGCTCCATCGAGATCTCTGAGCAAGCCGGCACGGAGCAGCTTGGTTCTGACGGGTTTCGGGGTTCAGGCCAGCCAGCTACGCCCGATTAACTGTGGCTCTTGATTTTGTGCCAAGGCACCTGCGCCTTGCACTAGGAGTTTTCCAGTTGGGATCGGGAAAGCTCGACTTTTTTGTTTGATGATTTGGGCGTGATCCTTGATCTTCCGACTAACCTCGTGACCTTCACGACCTTGTCTGTGACACTGCCGCTGCTCACGGTTGGTGGACATCTGATTGACAGTGTTGATGCAATGATCCGCCTCCAAAGCTTGTGGTTCAAGGGAAACTACCTTCTCGGCGCCCAGCTTCCCCAACCGCCTCAACCCATGCCTGGTTTGACGAGCCAGCTTGCGACACCCCCGCAATGGTTGCGAAAGTCGCTGCGCTTCGTGGCAAACATTCTGGACTTCCGCTCGTGACGCTGGCCGGCTGACCACGGCGGTTCGACTCGGCATGGTTCTGGTTCCGCTCGAGATCTACGATGCGGTTCCCCCGAAGCTGGACACCCTTCAAGCGCCCGCCGGGAAGCTGCAAGCATCCCGAGTATGTCCTGTACGGAAAGGCGTACGGCGTACAGGAAGTTCGCTTGCTGCAAGATGGCAAGATGTGCCGAAAAAGTTGGGGTGGAACGGAGATCACCGGGTCTGGGAACAACGCCCAAGCAAGGGCTTCGACTGCAATCGACTCGCTCTCCAGTATAGTGCCTCGCCTCGGCATTTTCGGCAGCAGCGTTCCGACCTTCGCGCCGGGCATCCATGCGAGAGTGAGAGAGCGAGGTCAACTTTTACCACGAGCAGCCCGCGATGGCCTTATTGGGAGTCGACCTGTTGCTTGTATATGGAAACGGCGGCACTTTGGCCAGCTTAAGTCATGCGTCTTGTGTTCCTCCTTTCTTGATCGCTGACCTCAAGAATGTGGCCGAGATGGCGGAAAACCAGCTCAAGGACGAGCATCTTTAAATTCGTCATCGCCCATCTGCACCGACCGCCGGGAGAAGGGGACATCTTCCATTCTATGTGCGGGCAAGGACGCGGGCGCTTCCGTGTCTGCGAGTCTACCAGACCAACGTCACTTACAACACCTGCGCCACCTACCAGCGCCTACTGGCAAGACTTCAGGAGTGGGACGAGGCTGCCAACTTGCTCGAAAGTTCGGCGCCCCGACCACGCGGCCCGTCTACACCGACCCCACCATGAGTTGTTTCGCTTCAAGTTGGAGAAACTCCAGGCCCTGCGGGTCGCAGAGGAGACATCCCATATACTGGTCAAAACGTGTGGAAACTGAAGATGTCAGTATGGAGCAGGGCGGAAAAAACAGGGGGATAAATGCCATTTCGTTCATGTTTGTACGAAATGCTGTGGCGAGCACTCGGCTATGGCATGCCCGGGCCCTGCGTCTTCGGCCGAAGCCTCTAAATGACGAGGGCAGGTGCCCCGGGCTGTGGCGATGGCGAACCGCTCGGCTACTGCATGGCTACGTGCACTCTACCTCTTTTCTGGCAAGGGTAAACGTGGTAGCTTGCAATCGCACTTCAAGACTGGCGAGCTTCTTCAACATCCGTGCTCGACCAGCGACCAGTCAGGAGCTCAAGAGACCGGGCTGGGCTGTTCAAGGCAACATCACTGGATGGCTTTCCACCAGTCTCGATTGTGCGCTGGACATCGCAAGCCGACCAAGCTACTTGACAAGACCATGCTAGGCCTCCCCGACTTCGTCCACGACGGGATGCCGGAGATGGATAGCAATGGTTGCATCTTCGCCTGCAGACGCTTGGTCCAGACGCATCATCCCGACTGTGCTGTCGTGCGAGGCTGGCCGAAGCTGAACACGGGCGGCCGCAGTGTCCAGTCAGCTACCTTGGAACCGTCGCAAAAAGCGGGGGAATGTACCAGCTTTCATATATATATATATATATATATATATATATATATATATATATATCCCGGAGCTTTTCCGGAAGCTGAGGCAGCTAAACCCCACGATTGCCTACAACGGGAGGAGATTGGACCACTGGACGATGATCTGGCCAAACAGGCCCAGAAAATGGCCGGAGAGCTCTTGTTGCTTGCTTTGCCCCTCAAGCTGATCGCAGCTTTGGATGTGCGACCAACGGGCGCCCTACAATGGATTTGCAGCCCGGCAAACGACCAAGCAGCCCACTGTGGCCCTTTCGGCAGCAGAAGCCGCGTTGGTGGAGCTTTTGAATTTTGAACACCAGTCAACAAGCTGCTGGTCTACAGGCATGGGTCAGTGAGGCGTCAGCTGAGGACGAGCATGAACCAGTTACGCTCAGGACGGACAGGGTGTGGCTTGGCCATCATCGCACCGGGTTGCGGAAGACACGCCGTCTCAAAGTGAAAGCCAGACTTGAGGATGGAAAGCAACGGGGGCCGCGTCATGGTTCACACGCCCGGGGAGATCCAGGTTGCGGACATGGCGACGAAGCCAGTGCCAGCAGAAAGATTTTCGGAGTTGAGGAGGCTTTGGGGCATGTGTTCTGTCGAGGACTCTGGGTGGGGGGGAAAGCAAGGTGGTCGTGAGGTTGCTGAGTGGCCCTGAGCACTATGACCTGCTCCGGTTCGGAAGAAGCCTTTGGATCATGATGACAGTGTGGAGTTCTATGGCATCCTCCGTGTGGCGGGTATTGCGTTGCTGTGTCTGAGTCTGGGAGATGCTCAAGTGGACGGCTCACAAGTGTTTCGGTGTGGATGAAGCAACAGTGGCGAAGGCCAGGCAGTTTTTTTCAGGATTCGGAACCAAGCCTGGGAGGCGCTACAGAGGGGATAGTTTCAATGAGTGCGAGTTCCTTTGATCCGATGTTCACCGAGCGGGAGAAGAAGCCTACAGTTTCGACGCCAAGAGTGGCACGGCAGATGCCGATGGAGGAAGGGGTGCAGACCGCAGCCGCTTCTCCAGGCCGAATGTGCAGTGCGAAGATGACCCAGATCTGTGAGGGCGGCTGTGACCGCCAAGGAATGGGCAGTATCAAAGGCTTCGCACGGCCTTTATCATGTCGGAGCAAAGGAGGAGGAGTGTTGATGCACAAATCTTCGAATGAGCCTTGGAAGCCTTGAGTCATGACAGTCGAGTGTGTAATTCTTTGAGGCGGAGCTTCGAAGCTTTGACTGTCATGTTGATGTCTGCTTGGGCTGCGGTTCTGAGTCACGTGTCGAAATGCTGAATACGTTCACCTTTTGTACAACCCGAGCGGAAAAGTAGCTTTTAACAAGCAGCAAGTCCTTCTGTGCGTTGTGTGAAAACCTCAATTCGATGTCCGTGCGTGAAGCCATGGAAGCCCCGACTGAACCCGACTACGATACAGCTCTGAATAACCTTGCGCCCGCAGCTGAAGATTATCACTGCCAAATGCGGGGGCAAAGGAAAAAGCTCATTCCGCGGTTTCGTTATCCATCTGACGATCCGTGGTATGACGAGTATGACCGCAATCCAATTTGACGAGGTCGACTGAGCGCACAACTGTGCTCCAGGAATGCTCCTTGCAGGAGGTATCCTCAAAGGCTTTCACAGGAATACTTCTCGACGGAGACGATATCCTTCGGCAGCGCACTTTTCCTCTCCGCTGGAAAAGATACCTTTCAATTCTTGCCCAAGCAGAACAACCATACTTCTCACTGGAGAAGATTTTCTTCAACGAGTATCTTCCAGCTGTGAGTTCGGCCTGCGCATTTGCGAGTGTCTACACGCCCAGGTTACATCTCTCGGGGTGGGGTGGGGTGACACGGTTCGCAGGCTAGTTTTTAAGACCGGGCTGTCCTGTGACTCCAAAGGCTTGGAAGACGCATGCTTTTCGGTGCTAACCAAGCACACCTTCCACAACCTCAATTCCGCTGGTCGGTTCTTGAGATGAAGGCACTTTAACAGAGCCAGATGGTCGATTTGATGTTGAAGTGTATACTGTCATGTCTGGATGTGGCACATCCACACCGACGAGCAAGCAGCTTGTTCCACTCATAAGACTGACCGGCCAATGAACTCGTCCCGAAGCACCTTGCAAGTCAGGTCTGCAGATGCGTCATGCCTGATGCAGACCAACAGCCCGGATCGCAAGGCTCTACCTCAAGGCCAGAGCGCAAGGCTCTGCTGTTTTCGTCGGCATGAGCTCAGCTCCTCCGAGGGTCGCGCTTGCGCACGGGCGAGGCGCGGGAGCAAGAAAGAAAATCAGAGGGCGAGCAGGCATTGCTCGCCGACAGCCCGGGGCAACCGAAAGAGATAGAGAGAGAGTTAGGGAGAGAAGCATGTGCTCTGCAAATCTTCACGCTTCACAGAATGAATCGAAGCAGCCGACTTGATTTTGTTGATTTTGAGCTGCAACACTCACATCCTGGGCCGTGCCGCCATTCGGGTGCGTCCGATAAGCATGTGAGGGATGGGTGTAAGCTACTCGCGAGTTTAGAAGTATGTCGTAACAGTCAGAAGCCCGAGCTCCATTCAGCTTGATAGGATGCCGAAGCGAATACTTTCTAACTCGGTAGAGTGAGGCAGCTAGATTCAGCTAGATCTCTCGAAGCCATGGCAGTCCAAGGCAACTAGTGGATAGTCTGTCGTCAGTGATCTCATAACCCCATGTAACCCCCACAGCCTTTGAGCGTGCCTGTTGACAGACAAGGTCAAGGGAGCAGGGAAAGCGTCTTTTGCTTGTTCGGTGACTTTGCACACAGCGTTTCCAAGATCGCCATTCCCCAAAGAAACAGAAGCCGAAGACTTCGGCGTTGCCGCGGCCGAAGAGAAACGTCTCGGCTTCCTCTCTGTGGCCGTGGCCCTGTTGCGTGTTGAAAGCTTAAGCTGGAGTTGCAGATTGCGGCGGCAGTTGAGCTTGCCACAGCTTGCCAATTCTGGGTGCTTGGCCGTTGGAGGATTTCGGGTCGAATCGTCGTGTCTCACCTCCGCAGCTGGGAACAGCCCATTACCAGGTCAACGGCTGGGAACTCGAGCGTGCTTTCCATGGTTTTGTGGGGCGGGGTAGAGCGACCTTTGCCTGCTGAGCACCCGAGCCTTGCACGGAGCGAGCGGTGAGCGAGCGAGCCCAACGCTGAGCAGAGGAGCGGAGGCACGAACGACAGTGGCCAAGTGTGAGGAGTGGGTTCGGGCACAGGCAGCAGCGGCTCCCAAGGAAGCGCTGCAGCAGTTGGTCCGAGTCCCGAGTACCGGCTTTCTACGCTCTGCATTCCGTCAGTGTCCATCCTCTTCCTTCTGCAGGCTTTCAGCGCCCGAGGGCTGGTGGAGACCCTGGCCACTCTGCAGAGGCAGCGCGAGTCGAGAGGTGTTCAGGCCCTGCGAGTCAGGGTTTCTTCAAGTTTCAGGCCATTGCGCCACCGGGTCCGCATCTCGAAGTGCAAGTGGCTGCAAGCGTGACAGTGTGCGCCTGCCGAATCGCAGCCACGAGGAGCTGCTTCTGTCTCAGCCTCCTGAGCCTCATGTAGCGCCTGTGCCGCAGGCTGACGGTCTTCTCTTGTTCACATGAACCATCGCTCGTCTGCGCTTCCAGGCTAATGCCACAGCCCAGATACCTACGAACTTCATTGCGAAGTATCAGAGGCAGACCAATATTCGCTGAGAGAAGCCAGACTTGTTACAGCCCCAGGCTTTCCCCGAACAAAACTCTGGTGATGTGGGTGCTGGCCGCTGCCTGAGCGGAGCCTTGCGGAGCAGAGTGTGGGCAAGTGGGGAAGTGGCAGCGTGACATTGTGCCAGAAGCAGAAACATTTCTGAGCTAGAAGCAGGGTCCCACCAGCTACGAACAACCAACAGGTCATGTTCGTCATGCTCGGTTACGGAGTTTCGAAGCCAATTCTGCACAAAGCTGCTTAGCTACTTGTAAATCTCTCCTTGTTTTGCATGCTCTCGCCGGACTGGTTGGAGTGTGCACTTCGCCGACAAAGACCTTCGATGGTGTTGTGGGCATCAAACATGCATCCTGACAACATAGGTGCGATTGTGAACGTTCCCTCTCTTTTCTTTCAGGTTTGCTTCCTTTTGGGGGTGAAATCTTTGTTGCTGTCTTCCTCTCTTTTTTCTCCCCTCACTGCCCGGAGGGACTGCGGACGGGGGGGGGGCCTTCGGACGCCGCTGCGAGCCTGAAGCATGAGTGGCAGCGTGTGGCGGCGGATTATCGGTCGCCATAGGCCTTTTTTTGTGGTCTCCAATTTGGAGCACCAAAAGTACCAGACGTTGTGAAGAAGCGAAGGCAGATGAGTCGTCCGGTGAACGTGTATCGCCAAGGAGGAAACGCAATACGTCGACGAGGGATATCATTTCAAGAAGAACAAGAAAAGAAGCTGTGTGCATAAGTATTGGCCGCTCGCAGATCAGTAAGCCGCAGATGTGCGACCACGAACAGTACTTTACTACTTTTGGGGAGTAGTTTTCTTGGGCTGAGAGCCTTGTGCAGTGAAGTCATGGTTCGCTACAGGTTGAGTCCAAATCTTTCCTTGTTTTGCATGCTTGTCACCCTTGAAAGGTAGTGAACACGTTGTTTCTATGTCTGCTACCGTCAAGGCCCTCGAGTTAAGACAGCAGTCAAAAAAGAAAGTTTGCCAGTCTTGCACCCTAGCATCATGAAGGGAGCCACCAAGGACCATGAATGTTTGTTCACGAAAATTGCAGATTCGGTGTGGGTCACGCGAGACTTTCGGGGGCCTCAGCTCTTGACAAAGCAATTAGGAACCCTTCTTCCCAATCAAGAAAGGAAGGCTTGAGACCCCCTTCCCAGTGCTCAGTGCAACAGACAGCAGAGCTGCTATCATTCGGCAACATAGCCGCAGCATTCATTTGCACAACTAAAGACAGCAGCAGGGCCTAAGACGGTCTCACGTTCACAGCAGGCTTCTTTTCCGACTGGTCGTTGACAAGCACAAGCATGGACGAGTTATCAATAGGGTAAACAAACGCTTCAAAGTTGTTATTGTATCTTGCATTGAGGAACTAGCTTTGCCATGCATCGTGCAGCGTAGGCTTAGGACTCATGAACCAGTTCGCAATACAGCCTGCAAGGGGCACTGCATCTTGCGCATTCGCTTACCAGCAACTGCATGCATTTGCAATACACGGCTGCAATTTCCTTCCATTGGCTTTCGCCCGCTTTGCTTTGAAGGTCTTTTTTGTCCGCACCACAAACATGACGCACACTCGCGCCACACCTCGCAGCCCAGCGGCTTCGCGGAGTGGAGTTGGTTGTGGGAAAGCTGATACTGAGTGAAGGGAAGTGCAGACGTCATGAGCTTTGGGTGGTGTGCCAAGGTCTTGACTCCGGTGTGGTTTCTCGTGGGATGGTGCCTTCTGCGCCTTGAGATGAACAGGCGCAAGAAGCACAATTGGAGCAGTTTGAGCTGGGAAAGCCGGTCAGGCCTGTGACAAGTGTGCGGGAGAGACGCGACAGACCTGAAGCCTGGATCCCACAGTCGGTGGTAGCCGGAACAGACCTTCCCCACTTCTGCATTGAGGCGCGAGGCTGGAACTTCCACTGATTTGCAGCTTTGTCGCTCCCTGTGACTATCACCGGATGGTGTCGCCTATCACAAAAGCTGCACTGCCTTCTTGGCCTTATGAGTGGCGCTGCCTTGCAAGCTATGAAATGAAGGAAATGACTATTTCGTGAGTTTGACTGTGAGCTTGAGTGACAGTGACAGTGTGCGCGAAAGTGTCATCACGAAAGTGTGAGAAAAGAGTGAGGAGAAGCGTGAGCGAGAGTGTGCGCATGAAGAGCCATGCCAACATGAACTGTGACCAAAGTGAAAGTGGAAGTGTGGGCTCAAAACGGGTGGGTGGGTTGTGGGGTCGGCCCCGCTCACACTCCCACTCACACTCCCGTTCACGCTCTCACATTCGGGGTTTGCAGAACGTGAGCGGGAGTGTGAGTGTGCACGTACTTTCCCTCCCGAGCTCTGACTCTTCTCGGTCGGCCCCTTTGCTCACACTCAACCTCACACTTCCGCTCACACAAATCTCACACAAATAATTCTTTCAGACTCTCCCGGCGGTTCCAAGGACCGCAGCTCGAAATCTTAGCCGATTAGCTAACTTGTTAGCACCTTCCCGGAGAAGGGGAAGCTTCCCCAGTCTGTACGAGCACCAGTGGCCCAGCAATCGCCACTCCATCGCATTGCCCGTGTGTACCTCCATATCAAGGAGCTGCACAACGACCAGAGCAGGGCTTTTTATGGCTTTTTTGCAACACTGGCACATGCTAGGTTCTGGAAACTTCATAGGGGTCGACTCTTGCATAACAGGTTCGCGGCAGTGTGGCGGCGCAGACTGTTGGGTTTCAGCCGAGAGCTTCCGTTCAAGCATGTTGGGGTCACGTCACAGACATGTCGTGTCCTCAACATAACATGTAAATCAGCGTGCTTGGCATGTCGCGTCTCCGAAGCTGCTTTGCTGCCTTCTTTGCTCCCGGGGCGACCTTGTACGGGCACTGCGGGTTTTCCACGTGCTTCTACGTGAATTCAGCGCGAAGGCGGTTGTTACCCTGGCACGATATTATGGGCGTTGCCAGCCACGAGCACTGTACTTGGATGCGACGCCTTTGCCTCGTCATGACGACGAGCTGAATCTTGCAAACTTCTCCAGATGTTGCGCTCCGTTGCTGCATAACATGTTGCAAGACTCGATTGGGTTCCATGTATCTGGGTATAGGGTGCACATGACCGTGCAGACCAGGCGCAGAAACAGTTTCAGCACGTCATGCAGATATCTGCCGCACGTCAGACAAAGCACCTCGTGGAGCTCCCAGATGTGCAAGCAGTTGCACACCCTGACCCGGAACCGCCAGCCCTTCCTGAACATGTCCTGGGGGGGGTGGGGGTTCGTGTTACCGACATGCGACTTCCTTTCGACGTCTCCGGACTCCACTGTGCCGAGGCTCTGTAGCATACAACACAGAGAGGATTCCTCGCAGCTGCGGTTTGGTGTTAGCCCGTGCCGTCAGGGCAAACGTCGCAACGACCCAGGGTTAGGTCTTTGGTTGAAAATGTCAAGGCAGCATTGGCTGTTGCGGTGCCTCCAGTTGTTGGGTCTCAACAATGTGTTGGCTGGGAATGTCAGAAAATGTCAGAAACAAAGCCACTCTCCAGACATGCAAGCGCCGAAGGCGAGTGCGGGATACTGCGCAGTACAGTTCTTGGATGCAGTACCGGTCTTGGAGGCACAGTTCTTCCACCAGGTTCTGCCACTAGCATCAAGGTGATCTTCGACTGTGCGCACGAAGTGGTGTTTGTCCCCAAAACGCTCTGGTTTGGAGCGCAGGCAGAACCTCGATTGGTTTGTCCTGTTGTCCTTCTTGTGATGGTAGCACGGCCGTGCTCCAACTCCGGTCAACTTGGACCTCGGGCTCAAGGAGCGCAGCGATGGCGCGGCGACCCGCGGCCTCTGCGCGGGAGGGGGGAGGTCCCAAAGAAAGGGCCTTCGGAGTTCATGGGGGCCCGCCATAGCATGGCAAGCTCGGCGGGCAGCTTGCTGTCACTGGTTCTGGGAAAGGCCAGGTTTTCGCCATTTGCACTTTGGCGGCTGCAGTGTAAGGAAAGCAGGAAAGACCCTGACATCGCTTCGCCAGGGCTGCGACTCCAATCTGGATACCTACGGCTTTCTGGTGCTCATGAGTGCAGTTGTTTTCTTCTTTCGAGCTTGGAACGTAGGCTTGGGTGGTGCTGGTGCTGTGCTGCTTCTACCTGGTCGCCACGCGCAGAGAGATCCTGACGTCGTGGCTTCGCTTCCGAACTCTCTTGGCCACTAAGGCCCGGCTGAAGCTGTGCCAGCGAGGGGCCCAAGAAGAGACTAGACGCAAAAACTTATAAAGGTATCAAAAATGCTGCTTGCAGCCTTTGGCATACCGGCCCGTCATGCACGTATGAATATGGCAGTCCTCCATTGGTGATTCATCCAGCATCATGTGTCAGGAGCCGTTGCCAAGTATAACTTATCGAGACTCAACTTAGCCCAAATAAGTAGTAATTTGCATCGTTGCTGCCACCGTTAGCACGAACCATGTCTTCCGAGGTGCTCAGATCTTGCGGCCAGGTCTGAGACTTAGCGGGCCGCGGTTGCCAGCTTTGGGACGCAATGGCGCGCAGGCTTTCACCGGAAGTCGCGCGGGTGACAGTGCTCGCTGCGGCACGCTCCTGGGAGCAGCAGACCAGAGTATAAGATCTGTGCATGGCTGCTCAAAGCATACGGGTTCTCTGGGAAATGCTACGCGAACCTACATGGCCCGCTCGACCTGAGTGCCAACTCGAAGCGCTACAGTGACTCAGATCAAGATTGTGATGATGATGGTGATGATGCTGGTGATGATTGTGATAGAAGCTCCACTTCTTTTTGAGCCTCTCATAAAGCGGCCTCAGCATGCTTTGAACTGCATGACCTTTGTTCGACATGCATGGATCTACGCCCAGCACAAAACAGAAGGGGATCCGACCACGTCTTGTGAGGATAGGTCCTATAGGCATCGCTGCAGGGGCCTTTGGCAGTTAAGCTACGCTCTGAACGCCCCTTCGACGGCGCTGTTGCTTATCCTTGTCTGCAAGAGAAGGCCTGCTGAGGTTCACAGGTTGGTGCAGGCTTACTGCAGGCTTCCGGGGTGTGCAGGTTTTACGGGTTTGAGGATGCGAAGATTGGCAGCATTGCCAACATGCTCACCGTCCCGAGTGTAGTAGCTTTGGCTGCTTTGCGAGCAATGGCAAAAAGCAGTGGCCTCGGCTAGCTGGAACACGCCAGGCCCAGCATGAGGCCGCTGGAATCCGAAAAAGCTTGCGCAGATGACGAAGGTGCCCTGTAGCACGAAGGGGAGCCGCGAGGCCTCGAGATGAGGTGGAGAGGACCACGCAGTGGGGGTTTGGCGGGTCAGCCGACCAGCTGGGCGGTAACAATCCAATGGCTCGCCATGGACGGGGAAGAAAGCAATTTTTCTGCAGAGTGTTCGCATGCCCAACAAGCGGGGCAACGGACCGGCGAGGAGCAAGCTGTTTCGCCAAAACGCTTCCGCACATAAAAGCACCAGGGAGGTGCAGTACTCTGTCGCAGTGAGACTTTGTCGAGGGATCAGAGTCCGGACCAACACTCGCATCACAGTGCATTTCAAGCACCCGAACTCGGTTGTCTGTACACAGCCCGAGCGGCACAGTCCCTTCCCGGTACTCGACAGGCCATTGGTGGCGAATGCTATACCAGGGCGATTCGGGCTTCGACGCTTCAAGACTAGGGTGATCGGTCGTCCATCGCCTCCCAACAAGCAACTTGCAACAACGCAGCAAAAGTGATCCACTGATCCGGGGAGCGCGCAGTGGGAATGACATTCGATTCCAACACACTAGGCAACGAAGCGCGGGCATTATAATCACATGCCGAGGCAGTGGATGTGACGGATCTTTTCGGAGGACACTCTGCAGCACTTAATCCGCCTGTGTCGATCCTGTGTTTTCGCAGCCGAGAAATGGGAATTTCCAAGCGACTCACGAGTCTTTGCAAGTAACTAAGTAGCATGTCGCTTTTGAGGAACCTGAGAATGCAAACTTGCACGGTGAGGCGCATTTGGCTTGTGGGCTTGTTGATGCTGCCACAAGCGTGGGCCGCGTAACACCACGCCGCTAAACGGTGGAGCTTTCTGGATAGAGGATCCGGAGTGTAAACAAGCTGAGGCGGAACTGGTCGCGTGCTCTGCCAAGTTAGGGAAACATGCAAATGTAAACGCCGGAAAGTAAATGCACGAGACGGGGTAATCTTGTTCAGTCCTCATCGGCGGCATGCTTCTGTACCTGGTGAAGGTAGGCGATTGAATTTACCAGTGTACACGCCCCGAGGCGCTGAAAGGCTGCAGCAATCCGAAGTTGAATAGGTTGGAGCTCTGTTTTTAACACCTTTCGGCGCAGAAACTCGAGTGCAACCAAAGGCAACACCGGATTTTCGCAGCGGGAAGCGCGCAGCGACGAGGGTCTGGCGGCTGTGGGTGGCGACTTCCCAGCGAGCGCCTGTTCAACGACAGTCACATGCTTGTCTGCAAATTCCACGCTTCGTATGGACCAAGGTTCGAACTGGTCAGGGTATACATCGCCATAGGCTGCCTTGTTTCAACGAAAGTTCGAACACGAGCAATCAAGGTGAACCCTTCGAAAACGCGTTGAGGCGGTCTTCCAACAATCCAGCCTCAACTGATTGACAACCTCATGACCTCATCCTTTGCCAACCTTCGCACCGTCAAACCCGGCTCATGCTGCAATAGGTTTCGGCACAATGTACTTCCGTACCCGGAGATTGCAGGGTCCTCGAGCTTCACAGTAGAAGAACCAACCGTTATTGTCAGCGGTTTCACAACAAGGTCATCGTTCCATGCAGCCGATTGTGCAATTTCGCCAGGCTCTGTCACCGTCAAGGTTCTGCGAAGTCTTTGGGCTTGTCCTGGCACTTGGCTGGCTGCAGTCTGCGGCACCGAAATCCCAGTTTCTGCTGCCTCATTCGCTCCGCCCGAAGCTCTCGCACCCCGAAGCGTCACAATGTTGATCTTTGAGGTGCAATCCGTGCCAAAAGACGGGCAGAGAATGGTTGCAATTGCGAAAGCAAACGCCTGTCAGCCTTACTAGGTCCGTGCGAAGCGCGGCAATGAAACGATCACGTGCATCATAACTTGTGAAACTTTATTCTTTGTGGAACCTCTGTAACATGTTTCAGCGTGCTGTGACTGCTTGACTAAACGCCTGGGTCTTTGCCCAGCACTATACAGAAATGATTCTAGCAGGTCTCGTGAAGATCAGTCCTTCGCATCGCTGTAAGCACCTTCGGGACTGTAAGCACAATAATGACGATGAGGATGATGTTGATGTAGCTGTTGTCGCCGCTGTTCATGTTAATGTCGATGATGGCCCAAATGATGCCATCACTGCTTTTTGGCGTCGTGAAACTCAAGACTGGATGAATGCAGTGAAGTTTAGTGAGGTATTACCGGGATGCGGCATGTCACCGATGCCGATTCGGCATTTTGAGGCTGATGCTGCTCCGCTGCTCCTTTGCGGGCTGCCAAGTCAAGTGTGAGAGGAATGTGTGTTGTGCAACGCTGAGCTGCTGCCCTTTGCGACCGGGCGGTTTTTTCGCAGGCTCACTCGCCAGCTTGGTCCTCGATGTGGATGGCGTTGCGGTCGCGGTTGGAAGCTCAGTGCACTGCCAGGAAAGTCTCGATATTGGCAGCTTGAATCACGCAGTCGCGTGGATCTGTGCGTGCTAACGGGCTTGTCGATGCAAAGTCGTGTGTCTGACATAAGGAGTTTGCCCTGTGCTTGAGTGAGTGAGTGAGTGAGTGAGTGAGTGAGTGAGTGAATGAGTGTGTGAACGAATGAATGAACGGAGAAAGGAAAGAACGAATGAAGGAATAACCGAACCAGTATGCAAATGTTCAAATATGTAACTATGTAAATATGTAGGTATGTGAGCATATCAGTAAATTAAGTAAAGATGTAACATGTAACTCAGTAAATATGTACATGTGTAAATGTTTAAATATGTACACATGGAAATGTGTAAACATGTAAATATGTAAATATGTACATATGTAGATATGTAAATAGGTAGATATGTGGATACGTAAATATTTAACCATGTAGAAATATTTAAACTATGTAAAATATGTAAAATATGTAAAATATGTAAAATATGTAAAATATCTCAAGCATATGTTAATATGTGTAAATATATGTAAACATATGTAAATAAACATGTAAATATATGTAAGTTTGTGGAAGTATGTAGATATGTAGATGCAGTGCCGGATTATCTTGCTTCGTTTGCTCAGTTGCATAGCTGTGCAACACTGTTGCTGTCGTTGTTTCTGAATCTTGCAGCACCTCAAGCTGTCATGTTGGCTTTTTAAAAAAGAAACTGTGAAAGATTGTGACCTTCACAGCAATACCTGCTTGCAACCATTCTTTGTCTAAACCTGCACTCACAAGGGGTGAAAAGCGGGGCCAAAAATGGGCCTTGAATTCGGGCCCGTTTCTGGAGCCTTCTGGGACTGGCACAAGTACCGTAGACTCAGAGAACGGTCCCATTTTGGGCCCGCATTTTCGTGCCGGAAAACTATTCTTGAGCTTGTTCTTGGAGTCGCCAAATCTGGACGCAGATCAAGAGATATGGTCTAATGCCAGCCAGCAATTCTTCGCTAGATGCAGCTGGATAGGTCAAGCACCCAGTTTCTGCTTGTCATAAACACACATTCGATTTCACCAATCAAACTGGAACCTGCTGCATGTAGTCTGACCAACTGCCGTTGCAGCTGGGGAGGCCACCCCCCGTGGACCCCAAACCAAACCCAGCACATTCCAGCTCAATGGGAAGCATGGCAGGCGTGCTCCTTCGGCTTTGACTTTGGCTTAGCCTTCGCTTTTGGCGGCATGGCACTTCAAAGGATAACTATGCCAGAATATGCCAACTCCACAGGACAATATTAAGTGCCCGACGGAAGCTCTTGCACGTGCTTTCGTCAGGGGCCTTGTACGGAACTGCGGAGCTGCGACGGCTGTCAAGGTCATTCCCTCTACACCCACTCACACACCTGGCCACACTCACTCCATCATTCAGCCATCCGAGGTTCCGAAAATTGAACTGGAAGCTGAAACGTGCAGATCGTAACGTGTTCGACGTTCTTCAATGTTGATGGAAAGAAGAGACTGAACTTGCGGCTGTCACGGCCTTCGGAAGCAAGAAAGCCGAAGTCCAAGAAACTTCTGCACATTGAACGGCCGCACGCACGTTGTGTTTGCACTGTGGGCGGCTGCAGAAAACTGGTCTCAAATCTCACATACTGCAGCAATCGCATGTAGTTACTCCGTGACTTGCGCATTCACTCACACGCTCACCCAAACCACTTCTTGATCCCAAGCTCGCTCACACGCTCACTCCAACCGTGCATCACCCGCAGTGCCTTGCGCAATTTTTCCGAGATTGTGTGAAGACAAAGGTCTCAGGTGTCACTTTGGGTGAAGACCGCACAGAAACACATCTGATGCTTTCACATCCGGCTTCTAAGCCTCGGAGCCCACATAAAGGGTCTCTTGGTGTCATTTTGGGTGGAAGCCACACAAAACCACGTCTATCCACGTCTGATGAATTCACTTCCGGTTTGTCAACCTCGGAGCCCACCAGAAAGGTCTCTTGGTCTCATTTTTGGGTTATGACCACACAGAAACACGTCTGATGCGTTCACATCCGGTTTGTAAGCCTCGGAGCCCACCACAAAGGT